GCCCTTCTTTGAGGTCTGGGCATCGCTGTGGGGCAGAGCGTGGTCTGTGTGTGCACAGGGGTCCACGTGTCCCCCCTGAATGTGCACAGGGGTCCGCAGGTGCCCCCCAGGCCCTCACCCATGAGCGCACGGTCAATGACGCGGACGGCGATGGTCATCAGCGTCCAGCACTTGGAGCAGATATCGGCCGAGCTGGGGGCAGAGTGTGGTGGGTCAGGCGGCCGCCCCACACCCCCAGATCCTCCTCCCGGCCCAGAATTCCCCCCGGGAACCTGCAGCACGTCCGGACGTCGTCGTAGTCCGTCATGTCGATGTCAAAGACCAGCTCCTTCTCCTGCGGCTGGAAGGCCCCCAAGTGCACCGTGTTGTGCTGGTTGGGCTGCGGGAGGGACAGGACGGGCTCAGTGAACCAGGGACCCCCACGGCCCCCCGAGCACGGTGCCCGGGACTCACTCACCCGGTGGGAGTAGACGGCCCCGATGTCGATCTTGTAGGGGTTGATCTTCTGCAGCTCCCGCTCCAGCTCCTGGGGGCTGCTGAAGGACTGGAACCGCACGTACACGTCGTCCCGCAGCGTGAAGGAGAATTCCCGCAGCTGGAAGTAGTTCTTCACCACTGTGGGGGCGTGGAAGGGTCGGGGGCAGTGACAATGCCCTCACCACAATATCGATACCCCCCACCCCTTATCGATACCCCCCGCCCCGTATCGATGCCCCCCTCCCGTATCGGTGCCCCCCGCCCGGTACCGCCGCCGTAGCCGAGCCAGCGGCCGTAGGGGCCGTGCGGGAAGAGCCGCCGGTAGAAGACCGGGAGCAGCTCGGGCAGCGCCGCCGGTTCGAACGGCGCCATGGCGGGAACGGAGCGGCGGGGCCGGGCCCGGGGGCCGCCGGGAGATGTAGTCCTGCCGTGGGGCCGGGGGCGGGACAAGGCACCGGAGGAGTCCCGGGGATGCTCCGGGGCGACCCCGGCGCGCTGAGGTCCGGGGGTGACCGGGGTGACCCCGGGTCCGGAGATGTGCCGGGGATGTGCCGGCTCCGTCTGGGGGCCAGGACGGGTGTCCCGGGGGTGTCCCGGGGTCCGGGGGCGTCCCGCGGTCCGGGGGTGTCCCGGTGCCCGGGGGGCTCCCGGGCGCTGCCCCGCTCCCGTTAACGATTCCCCGCAGCAGCGGCCGCAGCAGAGCCCCGGGACCGGGACACAGCCCGGGGCAGAGCCCGCAGCACGGCGGGCTCCAGGCGGCAGCACCGGGACGGGGGAGGACGGGGCGGAGCCGCCCCCGTTTCTGCCGGGAGGTCCCGCGGCACCTCCCCGATGGTTGCCCCGGGGCTCCGCTAATTAATCATTAACAGCGGCGCACGGGCACTGCCAAGGTCGGGACAAGCCGGTCCCTTTCCCAGTCCCGGTGCCGGTGCCGGTGCCGAGGATGTGGCTGTACGTGGCGGCGGGGCTGGCGGGGCTGCTCCTGCTGCGGCGCTGGCACCGGGAGCGGCAGACGGTGCCGGGGCTCTGGGAGAAGCACGTGCTGATCACGGGCTGCGACAGCGGCTTCGGGAACCTGCTGGCGCGGCAGCTGGACGGGCGCGGGCTGCGGGTCCTGGCCGCCTGCCTGACCGAGGCCGGGGCGGCGCGGCTGCGGGCGGCCACCTCGCCGCGGCTCCAGACCGTCCTGCTGGACGTCACCTCCAGCCAGAGCATCGCCGCCGCCAGCGCCTGGGTGCGGGAGCGCGTGGGTGACCGAGGTAGGCTGGGGCAGACACCCCGCTGTCCCCCCCGTTGTCACCCCAGCAGCCCCCTCCCGCCTGCTCTGGCACAGCCGGGGCTGGGGCCGTGGAGCAGCCCCGGCTCATCCCGTCCCCTCTGCAGGGCTCTGGGGGCTGGTGAACAACGCAGGGATCGCCATCCCCACCGCCCCCAACGAGTGGCTGACCAAGGA